AATTAATTTAATGATATTTTCTATTATAACATGTGTTACAAAAGAATAATGTTAATTTTAATTTAAAATAAAATTTTAATTTTAATTATTTATTTTAATAATCTTAGCCTTATCATTCCATAAAAGTGTTAGTTGAATACTTATACATAATATAATAAATTTAGTTAAATTATTTGTTTGTTTTGATATTATTAGTTCTATTGTACTTTAAAAGTGTAATTATCATATAATAGTTTTGTATGATATATATTAAATTATAAAATAGTAAAATAGATACTCATTTGGATATTAAAAATAATAGTTAGATTAGAAGAATGATTAGTAACATAAATTTAAAAGTAATTCTAACTATTTAGTTTTCTTTTATTTTCATTTGGAAAATAAAAATATGTAGAAATAGAAATTATATAAAATCTATTAAAAAAATGAAATAGTTATTTGTTTTGGCATTTCTTTTTCTGCAATTATATTTGTGCTTTTTTTTGAGAAATTACTTGAAATTTTTCTGAAGTTGCATAAATTGTATATATGTATATAAAATTTAAATTAAATATAAATATTTTGTAATAAATAATTTCATGTTAAATAAAAAAATTAAATATAAATTAATATTAAGCTATCAATAAGATAGATAAAAAATATAAAATATAAAATAAAATTAATTTGATTCGTGCTATACATATAATTAGGCACATTTTATCTTACTTATTTATTTGTATATTAAGATAATTTTTTTTTCCAAATATCATAATAATTAAATTAAAATATCAACTATATAGAAGAAATTTGATAACGACAAAACTAAATACACGATGAAAAATACATATATAAAATAAGTATTTATCAAATAAAATTCATATAAAATCGATTATTATAATTAAAACTGAATTTGTATAGAACTTTAAAGATGAATGGAAAAAGTATATCGATGTGACTTTTATACAAAAAAATAAGCTTTTAGAATTTGCCAATTAAATAAAGAAAGGAAAAACACTACTTCTAATAATATAATATATTGAAGGACTAAATTGAAATAAAACTTAAAAAGTAGAGATTAAGAATGATCAATGGATCCTCCAACCCTAAACGGATAAGGATGTATTTTTTGCTTTTCCCGGTGCGCACTCGTATTAATTGTTTTTTTTCCCCTTGCAGGCGTGTGCGCAACACCTAAGACATGTGGTCATAGAATCGAACTCAACATCTAGTGTATTGAAAGGAGTGTAAAAATAACCCGCAACTCGTGAGCGACCTGAAACCCGTTCGCGGCTCAGGGTGAGCCCAGCCCCTTTAGGCTTGTTTGGGCCCGAGCCCAGCCCGAGATCCTAGGCTAGGGCTTGGGCCATCATTTTGAAGCCTAGCCCTACTCGTGGGCCTGACCCAGTCCATCAGTCTGCTTAAAGCCCACTCAAGGCCCAAGGCGAGGCCTATTATTTTTTTTAATGAAAAATAATAAAATTTTAGTAGAAAAAATAAAAAAATAACAAAAAAAATTGTTTAGGCCAGCCCCAAGCCCGCCCTAGGCCCACCGGCCCTCCCCAAGTCCGAATACTCCCTAGGCTTGTGCTTGCCCGGCCTAGCCCGAATTTTGACGAGAGCCCGCGGGCAAGATGTAGGCCAAGCGGAACCAAATTTATGCCTCTAACTTGAAAGCCATCATTCCTTCCACTGCTCCACTGTATCTTCTTCTTAATATACAATAAAAAAACATAGTATTTATGGTATTCATTATATTTTATCATATATTTAAATGTTATGTCATCTTTAACTTTTATTTATATTTGCTAAATATATATTTTTATAATGTTTTCTTTCAAACATTATATAATTAATATTTTTAATAAATATAAAAATAAATTAAATAAATATATCTTAATTCTTATACAATTATTAGATAATTTATTCTCTTCACCTCTTCTTCTTCTCTTCCATTCTTTTCTCTTATATTTTTGTTTGTTAATCTATTAGGATTAACAATCTATTTGTTTATGTGCTTGGGTTGAACCATTCAATAGTTTTCTTTTATGGGTTTCCATTTTCTTTACCGTAGAAAAGAAAACCATTCCATACTTCTCTTGATGAATTTTTATTTTGCTTATTATTTTGGTTGGACTACATTGTTGAAAGCCTTTTTAAATCGCTTAAACTATTTTTTTAAATCTCCCCCCACTGTCTAATATGTTGATAATTTTAAAAATAATGAAGAGTAACAAAATTTGGGCCAAATAAGGCCTTAAAAGTAATGAATTATAATTTGAAAAAATACTTAAAATTTGTAAAGTTAAAACTGTCAAATCGATCACATTCATCCGTCAATCTTCTCATTTTTCATCCACCAACTAAGCAAATAGATGCGGATTGATTTTTTCTAATTCGCCTAATTTTGGAAGGATGGCGGATGGAACGTTACCTGACCTAACTTGAACTACGAGCACTCCTAGTAGAGATCAAATTGTTCAATTTGAAACTATAAGAACTAAAGTAATATTTAAATAAAGTTAGGATAAATTATAAATACATCCTTTAAAGTTTGCTTAAAATCTGTGATTCTAAAAAATTACATCCCGTTCATTGAAATTTCTAATTTTATAACAAATGATTTTTTTAATTAATAAATCAGAAGGTCAATTAATAGTTTTTAATGATATCGGAAATTAATTCAATTAATAATTCATGTAATTTTATCATTTTATAGGAGAGCAGTTAGAAATTTTATTTTTTAGTTAATTTTGTTAAATAAAAAAATTTGACAATAAGATATTTGTAATTTTTCAAATTATAAAAGGCAATTTGTATTTTAAGTAAATTTTAAAAAGTATATATGTAATTTATCCATAAAATTATAAGAGTGATAAGTATAATCAATCCAACAAGAAGAAGAAAAAAAAAAAAAAAAGTTGGAGTGAAACGAATCCGTTTAAATTATGGAACTAATTCAAACCAATTCATTTAAATATGATTCGGCTCAGTTTGAAACCACGATGTTACATAATTTGTTCATAAAAAAAAATCATATAATATTTTCATTTTAACATTAAGTTGCCCATAACTTTTTGAAATATAAACATGCATCCCTACATGTTTATGATTACCATTTTAACTAGTGAATCCCAACATGTCTGTTGATCAAATTTTCAAAGACCAGGCTTTGTTTGATTTAGTTTTTTTAAATTGTATTTTGAAAGGTAAGTTTTTGAAAAGTGTTTTGGAAATTAAAAACTTATTTGATTATGAGTTTTGAAAATAATTTTTGAATTTGTAAATTTTTTTTTTAATTAAATAGATGGATGCGAGAAAAAAAATTAATTGATTGAAATGTAGAATGTGAGATAATGAGTGGAAAGAGAAAAAATAATTTTGAAAATAATTTTAAAAAATGATAAAACAAACATATTTTTTGATTTTTCAATCCAAAAGTTAATTTAAAAATTAAACTAAACAATATCCAAGAATTTTTTTTTTTTGGAAGGATGGCGGATGGAACGTTACCTGACCTAACTTGAACTACGAGAACTCCTCGTAGAGATCAAATTGTTCAATTTGAAACTATAAGAACTAAAGTAATATTTAAATAATGTTAGGATAAATTATAAATACATCATTTGAAGTTTGCTTAAAATCCGTGATTCTAAAAAATTACATCCCGTTCATTGAAATTTCTAATTTCATAACAAATGATTTTTTTTAATTAATAAATCATAAGATCAATTAATAGTTTTTAATGATATCGGAAATTTACTTCAATTAATAATTCAGGTAATTTTATCATTTTATTGAAGAGCAGTTAGAAATTTTATTTTTTAATTAATTTTGTTAAATAAAAAATTTTGACAATAAGATATTTGTAATTTTTCAAATTATAAAAGGTAATTTGTATTTTAAGTAAATTTTAAAAAGTATATATGTAATTTATCCATAAAATTATAAGAGTGATAAGTATAATCAACCCAAAAAAGGGGAAAAAAAAAAAAAGCTTAAAAGTTGGAGTGAAACGAATCCGTTTAAATTATGGAACTAATTCAAACCAATTCATTTAAATATGATTCGGCTCAGTTTGAAACCACGATGTTACATAATTTGTTCATAAAAAAAATTATATAATATTTTCATTTTAACATTAAGTTGTCCATAACTTTTTGAAATATAAACATGCATCCCTACATGTCTATGATTACCATTTTAACTAGTGAATCCCAACATGTGTGTTGATCAAATTTTCAAAGACCAGGCTTTGTTTGATTTAGTTTTTTTAAAAAAATTGAAGTTTTAAATTTTATTTTGAAACTTAAGTTTTTGAAAAGTGTTTTGCAAATTAAAAACTTATTTGATTATGACTTTTGAAAATAATTTTTGAATGATTTGTAAAAAAAAAAATATTAGTTAAATAGATGGATGTGAGAAAAAAAATTAATTGATTGATATGTAGAATGTGAGATAATGAGTGGAAAGAGAAAAAATAATTTTGAAAACAATTTTAAAAAATGATAAAACAAACATATTTTTTGATTTTTCAATCCAAAAGTTAATTTAAAAATTAAACCAAACAATATCCAAGAAATTTTAATTTTTTTTTTCACCTTATGTTATTGATTATGAGGAGATTTAGGATAGTTTGCAACATGTTTTTTTTTAATGTAAATGGTATATATATATGATTAAAGTTACATGCAGTCCAAATCGATTTTAATCCAGAATCGTAAAAAATAATTCAAAATTGATCTGCAAAAACAGTTCTCAATTTTCTAAATTAAATCCGAATCAAAGATTTGAAAAATTAAACCAAACATATCAAATTAGACTCGACGGATTCAATTTGTGGATTTTACGGTTGCTTTGCTCAATAGTAAGGCCTCCAATGAAAAGATCAAAATCGAAATGTGTGGGCAACATATCATAATAAACTAAAACAAGAGGACTGAATTGGAAAAATTCACAAAACGAACACGCTTTCGCATATCGATTGTAACGGTTAAGTCGGTTCGAGGTACACTGAGAGAATACGCTATGTTGGCTTCAAAAGTAAGCAACTCGGTGGTGGACTCGCTCTCTGACTCACTCATCTATTTATATTGAAGTACGCTACGTTGGGTAGCACATTGTTCCAGCAGCATATTCTCAAATCTCTTTCTGGGTTTCTTGTTATCTGTTCGACTCTGTCTCTGAATCGCTTTGATTCCTTTTTTTTCCCAGGCTCTCTCAAGATGTTCGGTTCCACTACTCGTAAGTTCTTACTCTGTATTTCAGAATCTCTGTATAAGTAAAACCTATTTAAATTCAATTCAATTCAAATTAATGCACTTGTATTTGCATCTAATTGGAATGTTCTTATTGAGATAATGTTGGTTTATTCAACGTTTGTGGCTGATTTTTGGGATTTTGATACACAAATTTTGAATTTGATGTCGGTTATGTGTGTTGAAGTTGTTTTTTTTTTTTTTTCCTTAAAGAATATGGTGGTAATCTTCCTATTTTTCTTGTTTGGTAAGAAACGAAAAATGTTGAGAAACTATTCTTGTGTTTATTCTAACAATTATTATACTCTAATTCTATGCAAAGATTATTGCAATCTCAATTTCATAATAGTTTTTGGAGTAGTTTGGATACGTGAGCTTGAGTGTCCGAAAAGTATCCAATACTTCTTAAAGTTAATGGATACTTTTAGGAAGTGTCTGCTAGGCATTCGTGAGTATCTGAAGAGTATCCATATCTGATATGGGTTCGACTCACTTTTAGAATTATCTATGCTTCAAGTAGTAATAATCTATTCATTCCCAAAACATTCGATTTTAGAGTATTAACTCCTTTTGGTTCCTTTACAGGACCGTCAGGTTTTGGTGGAACTTCAACTGGTGTATTTGGAGCAAATTCTTCACCTTTAGGGTCCATGTCAGCATTTGGTGCCACTTCGTCTCCTGCTTTTGGAAGTTCAACTGCTGCTTTGGGAGCTCTTCTGGCCCCTGCTTTTGGCAGTTCTCTATCGTCTTTTGGTGGTTAGTACTTGAATAATCCATTGTTTTTCTTTTAAAGTTTATTTGTTGCCTGTGTTAGTTGTTTGGCCAATCACTTACTGATGCTTTGTTCTTTAGTTTGGTCGTGGAAATAACAACACCGGTTCAGTTTCGACCTGCAAGTTGAGATTGCAGAGCCTTTTATTTTGGAAAACAGGGTTGTGTTCCAAATTATCAGAAGCAAGCACATTCATCTTGTTATTTAGACGGGAAGATGAAGTTTACTCTACGGAAGCTCCATCTGAATGCATTTGTAGGATGCAGCTTTTGCAGTGCTACATGTCGTAGGGCAAAATTTCTGTGGTAGATTAGTAGGGTGTGGCTTGTTGATGACCAAGTGGCCATTGGCCCTTGAAATAGGATTGGAGTTGCAGCATAGGCACAGGGATCAAGCCTTCTCAGATTTTGTAAAATTAGCCATCTGGCATCTTTAATTATATTGAAAACATAAAGGAATTCAAGGCTTGATGAAAGATTATGAGTTATTTATTTATTTTTGGTATGGATTGGGTACACTTGCTTTCAAGAGATCATATTGCCAACATTCACCACTCAATTCATATTAGAATGTTTTTCAATTTTCCCTCTCTAAAATTTTAGATATCTTCCACCTAAATCTTTATAATTCCTCCTTCTAAACAAAATCGCTGCAATTTCCCCTTTAAATGTTTATTTTTGTGAAATTCGTCTTTATCTTGGGTCATGTTGACTCTTGACGGCTTCCGCCTTTTACACATGTTAGATCTCTCACAGGTTAGATCTCTCTCTCTCTCTCTATATATATATGTGTGTGCGTGCGCATGTGTTCTTCTTTTATTTTGATGCAAGAAATAAATGTGCATGTTCTGTCCAAAATGTTCATATCTTTATTGTTATGATCATCATCATCATTATCATCCTAAAATGACTTTCTTGTTTTAAGTAGTGATGATCATCGTGGTTATAAACCAAAACAACATAGAATTAACTTAACAATTAAAACAATAGAAAATCAACTTTCAGATGTTAATTCTTTATATAACATGGGATCTCATTGTTCAATCAGATTTAGTTTTTTGAGGTGTTTATGGAGTGATGCGTTGTGGAATTATACCTTATAAGGGCTATAATCTCTCTCAATGTGTGGACTATGGATATTCACCGGCTATTGGGTCATTTAATATGATTGAGAAGTTGTATACATGGATACACCGCAGTTTTTGTTGTCAGGCTCATACTGTATCACCTCTACGGATATGTAGACATGAATTTGAATAGACAAAATGTGATTTGTTAGCCATATTTACTGAATTAAGTATAGCGATCCCGGGTTTAACTTGGAAAGCTGTAAGCCCGTAGGGCATTTTGTTATGAGGTTAACATGTAATACTTATGTCTTGGAATTCTAATGAATGAAAGGAATGCAGTTAGTTTAAATGTAAATGCATGTCTTATCTGATGGGTTTATTGTTATTATTTTGAGGGCGTGACATTAAGTATGACTAAAAACTGCCAGGGAATATAATTTAAATAATTGTAATGACATGAGAAAGAAACACAGCATTGTTTCTATTTGAGTTCTTGCTATTTTAGAAAAAAAAGAAAAAGAAAAAGAAAAAAAAGAAGCGATAAAAAAACAAGAAGGCCTCTTTATGGAGTGATGCATTGTTGTTTGGATGTATATCTTTGGTTATTGATTTGCCTTTTTGTCAGTTCTCATTGTACTTTCCAGAGAGTGTATGGTATGAGCTTGTGTGATTATGATTTCATAATTTTATCATGGAAAATTTATGGTAGTGTTTTTCTTTCTTTGTAGTTATGATGCATTTTCATTTATTAGATTATGCATTTTGACTGCCCTTCTCTTGATTTTCTTATGACTAAAATTTTTGTTATGTCGACCAAAAACTTTTGTTATTGTCACATATTTGTAGGATCTTCTTTATTTGGACAGAAGCCTGCTTTTGGAGGATTTGCATCAAGGCCTAATCAATCTGACTCATCTGGGAGTGTGTTTCAACAAACTCAAACTACTTTTGGAAGCAATCCATTTGGTTCATCTACTCCCTTTGATGCATCAACCCAAAATGCATTTGGTGCTGGTAGTCCCCCAGCCTTTGGTGCAGCTAGCACATCAACTTTTGCTGTTGCAAGCACTCCGACATTTGGCTCCTCGTCAACCTCAATCTTTGGCAGCACAGGCACAGCTTTTGCTGTGTCCAGTGCACCAGCTTTTGGATTTGGGACCAGGGCTGCATTTGGTGCTTCAAACACATCGGGAACATTGAACACATCCATTTTGGGGGCATCAAACACCTCTGCATTTGGAGCATCAAGCAGTCCTGCCTTTGGTACATCAAGTACCACAGGATTTGGCTTTGGTACCACTCCAACATATGGGCAGTCAACTTCAGCATCTGGCAGCAGCAGCATATTTGAAGCTACTCCATCTCTTTTTGGGACTCAGAGTTCCTACTTTGGTGGGTTATTTTCCATATTTCTTTCTATATTAGTTCATTCTTATGTCTTTTGTTTATTACCAATGAAACATTATTATTCTCTCAATCTATTTTGCAGGAGCCCAGACAACGATGCCGACATTTGGGACCACAAGCTTTGGACCTTCAGCTTTTGGTGGTCAACGTGGAGGAAGTAGAGTAGCCGCTTACACTGCAACTGCTGAGGTAGATGGTGGCAGTAGAACACAACCTGCTGTTAAACTGCAGTCCCTTTTAGCAATGACTGTTTACAAAGATAAAAGCCATGAAGAACTGAGGTTGGAGGACTATCAGTTGGGCGATAAAGGTATGGCTAGCCTGTGCACGAGTGGTTTCATTCATCTTTATCTTGTCTTTTGTTATGAAAATGGTCTGTACTGACTGTTCTTTCTCATTGATTCCAAATTCAGGGGGCCCGTGCCATGTGCGTCAATCTGCAGGTGGTTTTGGCGTTGGTGGTTCCACTACACAGTCAAACGCCTTTGGTCCTTCACCCACACTGACTCAGTCATCTCCCAATCCCTTCTCTTCCTCAGTCTCTTCTAATCCACTTGCTCCCCAAACCTCTACTCCTAATCCATTTGTCCCCCAAACCTCTACTCCTAATCCATTTCCCACCCAAACCCCTTCTCCTAATCCATTTCCCACCCAAACCTCTACTCCTAATCCATTTGCCCTCCAAACCTCTACTCCTAATCCATTTCCCACCCAAACCCCTTCTCCTATTCCATTTGCCACCCAAACCTCTTCTCCTATTCCATTTCCCCCCCAAACATTTTCAAATCTGTTAACCCCCCAAACCTCTTCAAATCTGTCAGCCCCCCAAACCTCTTCTCCTAATCCATATGCCTCCCAAACCTCTTCTAATCCATTTTCCCCTCAAACCATTTCAAATGCATTAGCCCTCCAAACCCCTTATAATTCATTTGCCCCCAAAACACCAGCTCCTAGCTCTTCAGGCTCTGTAGCCTCATCTGCTCTTGGATTCAATTCATTACTCTTTAGGACATCTTCATTTGCAAACACTTTCAAGACAACATCATCCCCACCTTGCTCAATTTTGACAGCATCAGGCCCTGCATCTGGGCTGAATAGCTGTCCATCTCTTTTTAGCTCATCCAGCTCACCAGTACTTGGACCATCACCCTCTATCTTTAGTTCTACTTCAGCTCTGGGAACAGCTTCAGGAATTGGCTCTGGCTTGAGTTCTGCTAACACACAATCATCCCCAGCATTTTGGTATGTTGCACACCCTTACTCAAAGGGACAAGTGCTTCGTTAATTGGATTTATTGTTATTAGATTCTTGGAGTTAGAAGAGCTGTATTTTTACCCTAATGGATTTGTTGGATGGTTTATTCATTTTTTGGTTCATCATGCATCACATCATATGTGTTTCTTGGGGTTAGGGTTAACGGGGGTTGGATGGTTCAATAGATATCAAACTAACATCAATGTCCCTAGAAATAGGAAAAACAAAAACCAGAATGCAAATGATCTTCTGCTACTACCATGCCTCTCATCCTCCTTTTTTTTTCTCTTCACAAATTTGATGACAGTTTTCTGGACCAAGTTTGAATTTGTTTGATTAAATGCATTTTCAGCTTTTGAGAAGAGGGGCTACAAATTAAAAAATAAATAAAAATAAAAAAAATAAAAATTAATAATAAAATTATACAAGACTAAGGCAGCAACGAAATATAAGGTTCAATAGACATCAAACAAACATCAATATCCCTAGGAATAGGAAAAAAATAAAAAGCAAAAAGCCAATGATTTGCTACCATGCCTTTCATCCAACTTCTTGTTATCTTCACAAATTTAATGATGAAGATTTCTGGGCCCAGTTTGAATTTGTTTGACTAAAATGTATTTTGTCTTTTGAGAAGAGGGGTCACAAATTGAAAACAGAAAGAAAAACATACAAGATTAAGGCAGCAACTGAATAGAAGGTTCAATAGATATCAAACAAACATCAGTATAGGAAAAACAAAAACTAGAAAGAAAATGATTTGTTACCATGCCTCTCATCCGCCTTATTGTTTTTTTCTCAAATTTAATGATGAAGGTTTCTGGACCAAGTTTGAATTCATTTCACAATGTATTTACAGTACTTTCGGCAAAGTTGGACCCCCAAAACTGACTAAACACATACGTTAATGTGCTTATTGTTAAACTTTTTGAAGTCAACAAGTGTTATTTACTAGATTGTTGGAGTTACGAAGAGCTGCATTTTTACCCTAATGGGAAATTTGTTGCATCGTTTATTCAAATTTTGGTTCATGCAGGCATCACATCAATATGTATTTCTTCATGCAGGGTTAGGGTTAACAGGGTTTGCATGTGTCCTCTTATTCACTTCTGGTGATATATGGATGTGTGATAAAATGTTAGAATTTACCTACACCTACCACCCCCTACTACCACACCTACTACACCTACCACCAATTTACCCTCACCTACTCCTCACCTACTACCCAAACCCTCTCCTATATAATGAGCTACTCTGCTTTGTAATATAACACATCAATGTATCAAAAAATATAACAATCAATATTACATAAATTTCAACTTAAAATATAATTTTCTTCTTCATCATGTGTTAACAAAGCAATTGAACAATCAAGTTGGTTTCTAACTCGGATACCACCATAACCGGCAAAGACAAATCTAGAAAAGGTCATGTGTATAAATCCTTGAGTGTCATTATAAAATTTGTTAAGCAAAGAAACATACTTATTTGTGTACCATCAAGAATACGATGGACTCATTTTAACTTCCTTGAAATTAATGGAATGATTACATACATTGCTACTAGATGTCCAAACTCCACATTTAGAACCAAACTAATTTCCTTGTTTTAAACTAAAAATGCAAGAGTTTTTTCTTCAAGTACATACGTTGAGATATAATGAAAGATTTGTAACTCGTTTGTTGGCTTAATGCCTTGAGATATAATGAAAGATTAGTAAATCGTTTGTTGGCTTAATGCCTTGTTCTTTGCAATGGTTTAATGTGTAATTACATGTATCTCAGGTCTTCCACTCAGAGCACTGTGGTAGGGCAGCCAGCGCCAGTCGTGAGTCCTTTTGGAGCTTTACCTGCAATGCCTCAGTTGTCAATTGCTCACCCTGGATCCACACCCTCAATTCGATATGGAATTTCTAGCATGCCTGTAAGTCTGATATCTCTAAACCTTTCTATTACTGGATACAATAGAATGCTTTTGTATGGATTTACTTTCTTCATTCTTGATGCAGATCAGAATTTATAAATTATATGTTTTTTTTAGTATATAATTATAAATTTATAATTATTATTTAAGACTAAAATATTTAGTTTCCTATTTATTTAGGTTGCCTATTTAGTTTTCTTGTTTTACAAAAATTAATATTTTCTATTTTAAATATTCTTGACTAGCAAGAATATATCTTTTTCTTTTTAGATTTTCTTGATTAGCAAGAATTATTTTAGTATAAATAAAAATATAAGCCTTAGTGCAATATAGTTTATATTTGATTAAGAAAAATTGAGAGTTTTCTCAATATTGTTCGTGCGTAGAAAGATTATCTCTAGTTCGGATTTGTTTGTGGTTCGATCTTGTTGTTTGCTTTTCTTTCCGATACACTTCCCTGCATCAATTCTGAGCTATGAACAATAGAGGTTGGGTCCCTCTTGGTGCGTTTAGTGGATATCTATGTATGGAAAAAAAAAAATGTGGACATGTGCATGAGTTTTACATTTTGACAAGAACACTGCATCTTGGGCATGACTGATTCTTAGGAATGATATATGGTTGGTTATATGTATGTGCTCTATATAAGGAAGGAACACACACAAGAAAAACTGCATTTTGAAAGGGATATGGGATATGGGCAGTGCTAAAACTAAAGAACGTGTAAATAGTTATACTTACATATTTTCTAGAGAACAACATGTATGTGTTTGTGATGAAAGTTCGTGGATATTGGCTTGTCAGGCCAAAAATATGAACACTTGGTGTTGAAGATATACAGCATAAAATTTCAAATGGGACCTACAAATTGAAGTTTGGAATTTGACCATGCTTTCGCAAAATTAGCTTAAACAAAGGCAGTTATATTTGTATAGATCCAAAAAAGTGGCAGTGTTATGTTATGTTGTGTGTAAAAACACTCATTGTACCATACTCATGTATCAGATTCTGTGAACTATGTACTTGTAGCTGTCTGTTTTGCTGAAAGTGAATTTTGTGCATGACATTCTTTCTTCAAAACAGGTGTTTGACAAGCCTGCTGCTCCTGTCAGACTGTCATCCTTGCTGACATCTCGACACTTGTCTCAAAGACGGATTAGGTTGCCAGCTCGGAAATATGATCCTAAAAGTGATGGCCCAAAGGTGAGGATTGTCAAAACACAAGTTGCATTTTACAGTCTTGTAACCTGTTCAACCAAGCCACCGAGATCTTTTACATTAATGCTTCTGTTGCCCAACTGTTGTATACAGGTGCCATTTTTCAGTAATGATGGAGAAATGCCTACTGCACCCAAGGCTGGCACTTTATTTGTTCCAAGGGAGAATCCAAGGGCTTTGGTTATTAATCCCGCTGAACAATGGCCCCAGAGGCCGAACAATGAAAAAATGTCTCCACTGCTGCGTGCATCTTATGTTCATATATATAATAATGGTGAGTGCTTCCTTTTTTTATGAAGTTATAACATCATGTATGTGTGTAATTGTCATATTAGCGATCTTGCAATAGTATGTAGTAGTTATGTTATGACTAAGGTATGATATTATTGAATCATGTTATGTCTTGCTTGTTAGATTCAATTCTCGTTCAGGCAAAAGTTTTGCATGTTTAGGTGTTGAATAGTTAATTTAGGGGAAGGGCCGATGGGTATTCTAAACTTTCTTGTCTAGGCATTGTTTCCACAAGCGACTTGTGTTCATTTTTCATTTTGTAAGGGTGTATCGTAGTTTCTATTCTGGCTTCTTTTTTTTTCTCTCTCTCCTGCATCCAAGAGTACAATTGTGCTGTTTTTAAAATTTTCTACTTATACCATTTCATTTAGCTTGTGTTTGGTTAGGGGATTTAGGGAGGGATTTGGAAAGCGAAAGGAAAAAAGTGTGTAAAACTAAATGAAATGTAAGTATATCTTATTCACATTTCATCAATCTTTTTCTTTTCCCTTTCCCTTTCCAAATCCTCTCCCAAATCCCCCATCCAAACATAGCGTTAAGGTAGAATCTCTGCAGTGGTGTCTGCACCATGCTTTAAATGGTTTCATACATTCAGCTTTTCGTGTTGCAAAATATCATTAAGAATATAAAATTGAGGAAACAGAAATCAGTTTTTTGGACTGTTTGCTTGTGTTTTTGTTTTCTGTTTTATAATTTCACTTTCCAAAAAACACAAATTAGTTTGGCTAATTGTTTCCTAAAATTGTTTTAGGATTTTTTTTCCCTTAAAACAACCCCCGTTTTAGGGAACACCAAAAAGTTATTTTCAAAATTTTCGGAAACAGTTTTTGCACAAAAATGAAAGCAACATGAAAATTATGAGTGTTCATGAACCTTTTCGATGTTTTTGTTTCTGAAAGCACAAATATGAAAACAAAGAACATGAGAAACAGACTTCATTCAATCCCTACATATATATGTATATACATGTCTTGTGTTGAAGTAGATTTGTCCATAATTGATGTTTTTTCTGTTACAAAATAAGACAGTTTTGGCTGATGCATGTATGTATATTTCTGTATCTTTGACATCCACCTCCACTTTGATTCTTATTAATTATAACAGGTAGAGAATCTTGTTGAGAAGTAACCAAATAATTAAAAATGCAAAAGAATCCTTTTGAAAAATGTACAAATAGTGAAATGAAATTAACTTCCTTTAATATAATTCACTAATTAATCATATTTGTGAACTGGATTTGTTAAATACCAAGCAATTTCCTTGTTTTGTTTCTGAAAATTGGGGTGATGCCCAACACTTCTGGGGACGTAAGGCGGAATCTCAAAATGAGGCCTTTTGGTTCTTAATATTAATTTAAATGCATCTATTTTAATTTATTTTTTGCAGAAGTAGTTTTTTTTTTTCTTTTTCTTTTTCTTGAAAGCATTATACTCGATGTGGATATGTATACTAGAAGAGTATTTGCACACTACCGTCTGCAGATAGTATGCAATTGAAACTGTTAGGGAGATCATGGGTGAGAGAGAGAGAGACAGAGAGAGAGAGAGTCTATTGTTTTATTGATTCTACGTTTTGGTCCTTACAATAACTATTAGGCAAAGATAAAATTTGGGAAAATTATGTTGATGCTGTGATTTTTCTTTTTTTTTTTAAATTGCGTGACAAAGCTTTAACCAAGTGAGTTGCGTGCTTTATAAAATAGAATATATATGAGGATTAGAAAAAATACAGGCCTCTTCCAATTGGGGACTTTACACAATGGCCTTATAATGACCAATAATTATGTTTGATTGGGGAAGGTGAGGGCTGTGGGTGGCGGTTGATGGTAGGGTATCTTTTTGTATTCTGATGGGCTCATATTTTCATTTTACTACATTTCATACACTAGTACTGGGTTTTGCTAGTTCATGTATTCTTTCCAACAATTTTGCAGGGAGCGTATCTGAAAATAGTGCTGACAAGGAGGGCACTAGTTCTATCAAATCCAATCATAAGCCCAACGATCCGTGTAATATTACTTTCACTGAGAAAGAAGCCTTGCATATTATTACATCCACAGGGTGCAAAGCTGGTGAGGCTGCAATTCTGCAAGAACAAGAGACCGATGTTGAGGCATTAATGCCACGGCTGCAACACTCTGAGTACTATACAGAACCACAAATCCACGAGCTGGCAGTGAAGGAAAGGGCTGAGCCAGGGTTTTGCTGTCGTGTGAGGAACTTTGTGGTTGGACGCCATGGCTATGGAAACATCAAGTTTCTCGGTGACACAGACGTGCGACAGCTTGATCTAGATTCCCACATTCATTTTGATAATTGCGAACTGACTGTCTACATGGATGAGAGCAAGAAACCTCCAGTGGGGCAAGGTCTTAATAAGCCTGCCGAGGTCACTCTTCTTAACATCAAATGCATTGACAAAAAGACAGGGAAACAGTACATAAATGGACCTAAGGTTGATAAATACAGAGAGATGCTAATGAAGAAGGCAATAGAGCAAGGTGCTGAGTTTGTGTCTTACGACCCTGTAAAATGGGAGTGGAAATTCAGGGTGCAACACTTTTAGCCGATACAAGTTTTGAAGTGACACGAAAGTGGACTAGTTTCGAGACCCAGTTTCTGTGATTGTCGATGCAATGAGAAGTGACGGTTACAAGATTCGCAAAGAAAGCTTTGCCATTGTTTTGAGAAATTGGCTGCGTGGTCCTTTTTTCTTTTTGGTTCAGACTCTACTTGTAATTTGGGGTTCATGGTGTATTATCTTTTCATTCAATTGTCTTCATTTAATTTGTTGTCTTGACTTTTACAAATTAAGGAATCAACAAAAGTATTTTTTTTCCTCTCAAAATGCTGTGTGTGATATTGGCATCAGCAGATATTATCTTTTGGATTGGTTAAATAATGTTATTATAATTTCAAATGGATGGATTTGAATGAAATAACTCTGCAATTATAGTTATTTGAAATCATTGAAAAGGGAAAAAAAAAAGCAGCAGCTAAACATTTTCACAAACATTTGCAAAAATGAGATTTTATCAATGACCAAATGCACAAACCATTCACTACTAAATTGAAGACTAGCATTGGTAGCATCTTCTTAGGGAAATGTAAAAAATCATTATAAACTAATTGCAGTCAATATCATGCTTAATTGAATCAATGTATATCAATAAAAGTTGACACATTAGATGCTATAATCTCTCACAGGATAGAGCAAAATGGATTGTTGTCATAGGGAACAGCATAGCTGACGGCTACAAGCTGGCATTTGTTACAACAGCAGTCACGTATACATACAGGCGTAGGGGGTTTGGGCGGCGGAGTCTCTTTAGCCTTCGGTGGACCAACACCAGTGAGCTCTGCTACCTTTCCGGTCTTCCTCACTTGGTTTGCAACTAAAACAGGATCAACATTCCCAATAACAGTTAATATCCCCTTCTCACTATCCACCGATACCTGATCAATGCCTGTTCATTCAAAATATATATAGCATCATTTTACACGTTATAGTTCAAAACATAGTAAATTTCGACAAACTTGTCAACCCATTCTTCATACCTTGAAGTTTAGTGACTGACTTCAATACATCGCTTTTGCACTTATGGCAGTGAATGCTAACTTTCACCTCTATTTTCTGCACAGAAATGCAAAGAACAAGAGACATGAATTTGAAAGAACTAGAATGAATAATAGCGAACTTTCACTAAAACTAGGCCTTACCTTCACCATCATGGCAGCGAAAATGATCAAATTGAACTATATGTTCCCTCAACCTAGGATTAATGTTGGAAACCTATTTGTAGGAGTAAGACTAAAAAAAAAATAAATTAATAATAATAAATAAATAAATAAATAATGTTAACTTAGTATAGAAAGACCTTGACTTTGTTTTTAAGATTTAGAATGGTCAATACAAGGTGGTTGCACATTTATTTATTTATTTATTTATTTTTCCCTTTGATGCAGGAAAAACATGAAGTCTATGATGACATGGAGCAAGTACAAATGTGATGTAAATGTCAAAACCGAGTGGGATGTTTGTGGAAATTTAAAAGCTTAGAAAATTCTTGACAGTGATTGTTTTCTTAGAAAATTGTTGAACAGTGATTGTTTCGTTAGAAAATTGTTTGATGGTGATTATTTTCCTGAAGAAGGGTTCAAATCCTCCTCCCAGACAGCTCATGGTATTTCAGTGATGTAGACAAAGAAGTGAATTCTACAGGCCAATTCTTCCTAGGATATGTACTCAAACAACAAAATTAAGTCACTAATGTCAATGGAGAGAGAGAGAGAGGATTCTGACAATTCCATTAGATGTATTTTATACCATTTTACAACAAAAAAAAAAGTGGGATAGGATTGAATCTGATTTGAAAGATTGGCATCTGCTAACAAATCACCACAAATCAGTGCTTCAAAAAAGTCCATCACTAAACTATGATCTCTCTGTGATATTTGCCTCAGCAGATACTATCTTTTGGATTAGTTAAATAATGTTATTATAGTTTCAAATGGATGGATTTGAATGAAATAACTCTGCAATTATAGCGATCTGAAATCATCAAGATATATATAAAGCTAAACATTTTCCCAAACATTTGCAAAAATTTGTTGCCTAAATGAGTTTTTATCAAAGACCAAAATGCACAAACCATTCACACTAAATTGAAGACAAGCTTTGGTATAGTCATTATAAACAAATTGCAGACAATAATACCATGCTTAATTGAAGCAATGTATATACTTACACAAAAATTATTAAAATTTGAACACATTGGATGCCAGAGCAATATGGACTGTCAAAGGGAGCCAACACCGATGAGTCTTGCTACCTTTCCGGTCTTCCTGACTTGGGTTACGACTAAAACCGGATCAACTTCCCCAATAACGGTTAGTTTCCCCTTCTCACTATCCACGGATATCTTATCAATGCCTGTTCAATCAAAATATATATATAGCCTCATTTTACACATGTTAATACTTCAAAATATTGTAAATTTTCAACCAACTTGTCAACCCATTCTTGATACCTTCAATTTTAGTGACTGCCTTCAGAAGCTTGGTTTTGCACTTAGGACAGTTATTAATGCTAACATCCAACTCTATTTTCTGCAGCATTTTTACAGAAACCCAAACGCAAATTCCTAGTGAATTTGAAGGAACTAGAATGAATATAGCGAAATTGCACTAAAACTAGGCCTTACCTTCACCTTCATGGTAGCGCAATGATCAAATTTTCAGCAGCATTTTTTTTTTTTCTAGTAGGCAAAAAACATGAAGTGTATGATGTCATCAAGACTGTGATGTAAATGTCAAAAGCAAGTGGGATGTCTGGATTAATGAGTACGCCATCTCTATAACACTGCTTACTGATTAATAGCTTAGAAAATTCTTGACAGTGATTGTTTCCTAAGAAAATTCTTGACAGTGATTATTTTCCTGAAGAAGGGTTCAAATCCTCTTCCCAGACAGCTCATGGTATTTTCAGTCATGTAGACAGAATAGGGAGTTCCACAGGCCAATTCTTCCTTGAATATGTACTCAAAACAACAAAAGTAAACTGCCAATTGCAATTAAGCTTTGTGTCTCTGAGACTGTACCCCCTTGGTACAGCAAGGACATCTTCTCTGACATTAAGTGGCTCTCCCAAGCGAGGCACGTGGCCTTTAGCTGGACAAGGCGGATCCACAAAAGAGTGGCGCATGGGATTGCTCAGGCTCAGGCTCCGGATCACGCACATGTCTTTTGGTTTGGGTTGTCTTACCTCCGGTAGAGTTGTTTTAACCAAAAAAAAAAAAAAAAAGTCAAGAGAGAGAGAGAGAGAGAGAGACAGTTTTGACAATTCCATTTTACGTTTTCAAAACCATTTAAAAAAAGAAGGGAGGATACGATTGAAGCCTCGTTTGGCAAGAGGCTATTTTAGTTAATTAGTCAAAAAGTTATTAAATTAGTTAAAAAGTCAATAACTCATACCAAAAAGTTAAAGATTCTCTTTTCTCTCTACTTTTTGCATATTTTTTCATGATTAGTCAAAAAGTCATTCCAAACATATAAATTTTTTTTACCTAAATAGTCAAAAAGTTATTAAATTAGCCTGTTCCCAAACGAGGCCTGAATCTAATTTGAAATATTAGCATCTGCTAAGCTTCCACCACCAACCTTTATTTTGAAAAGGTCATCACTAAAATGAAAGTTGTAGGGTATGTTTGGTTGGGTTTTGAGGGAGTAATTTTTAAAAAAAATTTTGGAGAGAGAATTTAGAATTTTTTTTAAATTTGTTTGGTTATATATTTTGAAAGTAGTTTTAAAATTTGAAATGATTTGATATTTTATTGTAATTGAATAAATGTGTGTGAGAGAAAAAGTGATTGATTGATGTGTAAGAAAGAGAAAGTGATTTTGAAAATTATTTTGAAAAAATTACAAACCAAACAAGTTTTTAAAATTTTTTTTTTCCAAAATCACTTTACAAAGCCAAACCAAACATACACGTAATTTTTAGGTAAATTTCATGTCACTATAGAACTTAAAAAGTAATTAGAAATAAATGGCAAAGTTCATAAATATTATTAATTATAATTATAATTTTGTTTTCATAAATATGTAATAATTTTCTCAAATTATCACTAATTGGTAATTTTTTATAATTTTTAATTAGAAGGTTATAGTGATTTTTGATAAATTAATTTAATATTTAAAATTGAATATATTAAGTAAAAATTAATTAAATCTGTTTCTTATTTTTTATTTTTTTATTTTTTTTAAGAGATTTTTAGAGAGGAAAAACAAACTGTTACGCTCCAAGCTCCGTGACAATGCCGCACACTCATTTAAGTGAGCATGCAAGGCTAAGAGTCCAACACATAACCAACAATGTAAAATACTCTAATTAAATCCTTAATTATCATAATGCTAAAATCCATAAAAATTGATTATTCTTATCGTATGAAATTATCCACCAGGAGGGGATTGATAGTGAGCTCCGGATTAGGATGAGCCTCCCCAAGGGGATTCGGATGGGTCTCAAGAACTTAGTATTAGAAAAATAGTCTGGCAGATTAAAAATTTTTTATTTTATTTTTTACGTGTCGGGCATTTTTTTTTAACATTAATGTTTAATTTTTTATATTTTTTGTTAAGTAAAAATTATTATTTTATTTGTTTTATTTTTTTCTGATAATTTTTTATTTTATTTTTATTTTTTTAAAATTTTTTACATGTTGGGTATTTTTTTTAAACATTAATGTTTAATTTTTGTATTTTTTGTCAAGTAAAAATTATTGTTTTATTTGTTTTATTTTTTTGGAATTTTATTTATTTATTTTTTACTTTTTACATGTTGAACATTTCTTTTTGAACATTAATGTTTAATATTTTTGTATTATTTATTTATTTATTTTATATAAAAATAATTTAATAATCCCTACACCAACAATTATCATCAAAACAAATATAATTTTACTTAATCCCCTCACTATCAATCCCCTCCATTCTACTTCTAAAAACAAACAAGGCCTTAAGAAAAAGAAGGGAGGATATGACTTAATCTAATTTGAAATATAAGCATTACTAACTTTCCACCACTAACCTTTACTTTGAAAAGGTCACCACTAAAATGAAAGTTGTAGGGTATGTTTGGTTTGGTTTGGTTTGGTTTGATTTTGAGAGGGTAGTTTTTAAAAATTGTTTTGAAAAGAGAGTTTAGAATTTTTTTTTGATTTGTTTGGTTGTGTATTTTGAAAGTAGTTTTGGAATTTGGAATGATTTGATATTTTGTTAGAATTGAGTAAATGTGTGTGAGAGAAAAAGAAATTAATTGATTTGTAAGAGACAGAAAGTGATTTTGAAAATTATTTTAGAAAAATTACAAACCAAACAAATTTTTTAGAAAATTTATCTCAAAATCACTCTACAAAGCCAAACCAAACATACCCGTAATTTTTTTGGTAAATTTGATGTCACTATAGAACTTAAAAAGTAATTAGAAATAAATGGCAAAGTTTATAAATATTATTAATTATAATTATAATTTTTTTTCTTCATAAATATGTAATAATTTTCTCAAATTACCACTAATTGGTAATTTTTTTATAATTTTTAATTAGAAGGTTATAGTGATATTTGATAAATTATTTAACATTTAAAATTGAATATATTAAGTAAAAATTAATTAAATCTGTTTCTTATTTTTTATTTTTTTATTTTTTTTAAGAGATGTTTAGAGAGGAAAAACAAACTGTTACGCTCCAAGCTCCGTGACAATGCCGCACACTCATTTAAGTGAGCATGCAAGGCTAAGAGTCCAACACATAACCAACAATGTAAAATACTCTAATTAAATCCTTAATTATCATAATGCTAAAATCCATAAAAATTGATTATTCTTATCGTATGAAATTATCCACCAAGTCCACTAATAAAATCCATTAACAAAACAATAATCTAAGTACTTAAATCATAGTCCTACTCTCGGCACATTATGATAATTATCCACCAAGTCCACTAATAAAACCCATTAACAAAACAATAATCCAAGTACTTAAATCATAGTCCTACTCACGGTAATCCCACATGTAAAAATCCCGCGCAGCTCTACTCTTCAGAATCTGAAAAAAAAAGGGTAAGCTAGATAGCCCAGTAAATAACCAACCATTACTGCTAGCTGGATCAAGTATACAAATAAATAAATAAATAAATCGATAACCAATAAATATAAATTTTTCTACTGTTCAATAAATGAACAATTATTTGTAAAATGGTTTCATAGCTAAAAATAAATAATGTACAATACATTTTAAATGAAAAGCCA